CACCTCCCTAGGTAGCACATTCCACTGTTGCACAAGTCTGACTGTAAAAAAGTTTCTCCTAATATACAGCTGGTACCTTCCCGCCCTTATTTTAAACCCATTCTTGTGAGTCCTATTATTCTCTGTTGCAACAGGAGCAGCTCCCTGCCCTCCTCTAAGTGACAGCCCTTCAAATACTTCAAGAGAGCCATCATGTCCCCCCTCAATCTCCTCTTTTCCAGACTAAACATTCCCAAGCGCCTCAGCCTTTTCTCACAGGGCTTGGTCACCAGACCCCCATTCATCCTCGTCACTCTCCTCTGCACCCGCTCCATTCCGTCCACATCCTTTTTGAAGTGAGGCCTGACTAATGTAGAGTATAGTGGGTATAAGCATTCAAGAGTTAAAGTACCTTTCATCAGACACCCTGACCAAGGGAACTTTGACTCTCAAAAGCTTATTCTCCGAAGAATCTTGTTGGTCTCCAAGCTGCTACTCGACGCCAAACTATGAATATTTTATGCTGTCCCACCAAACATACTTACGATAAGATATGAGTAATATTAACATGCCTCAACATGTGGGGCTGTCTCTCCCCACCACTGTTGAACCTCAGCCAGCCCCTGTGTATCTGGAATTAGGGGAAGGGCTTGCAAATCAGACTTATTGCACAGAAGATTGTGCAAACGTTTGAGTTCTCCAGAGCTCTCGGTTAGGCTGGATGCTGAACAAACTACATGCTTTCCCATGTTTAAAGCTGAATTCTACTGTTGTTGGAGCTGGGAGCTTAGAACCTTTTTCTGGGGATGGACGGACACATGAAGCTACCGTATACTGAATTAGACCATCAAGGTCAGTATTGTCTTCCGCTCTGCTTGGCAGTGGCTTTCTTAGGTGGAGGTCTTTCACATCACCTCCTCTACCTGATCCTTTCAACAGGAGATGCTGGGGACTGAACCTGGGACCTTCTGCATCTGATGTAGATGTTCTACCATTGATGTAGATCTAACTTCTGGGTATACATGCTTAAAGAGGGTATACATGCATAGGATCGCCCTTTAAAATGTATAAAAAGCTTGACTTTGTGAACAATCCATTGTCAGATAAGTAGGCAGCTGGCTTCCATAGGAATGTTAAGCAGGTTCCCTCTGTCCACTGGTCATGTGTGTCATGACTCCAAGGAAGTAATTAACACTTGGAAGGGGAGAAAAAGCCAAACGTAGTCACTGAGGATCAGTCAAAAGTTTATAGCAACCTACAAAGTTTTTTCCTTGCAAGGGGTTAGCATTTGACATACTCTGACTGTTCAGCTGCATATATTGATACCACTTCATACGTATTCTGCTTCAGTGATAGATCTTGCTTACTTGACCAGCCCCCTCTCCAAAGAAAAATATGTGACCACTGGTGGATTTTCTTTCTTCTAGGTCTCTCCAGTCAGCATCTGCATATGCCACCAGCTTAGGGCTGTCATTGGCTGGTAGTTTAAGCTCAAAGTGTGCAGTACCCTTTAGGTCAGAGGTGTCAAACTCATTTGTTATGAGGGCCAGATCTGACATAAATGTCACTTTGTTGGGCTGGGCCTCGTGTGCTGTGTAATGTAGCACAAGGAACCAAATATATAAAGTTATAAAAATTATTTCAGATGCCAAATGGTAATAGCAGGCTTGATTGGATTAGGTGTGACATGTAGATGTAGATATATCAGCACTGGTAATGAGACAGGAAACCTAGGTCTCAATTTGGTCCAGGACGATTCAGTTCAGGAGGATGTAAAGAAATGGACATGTTGGAAGAAGTGAGCAGTGACTCACAAAAGCTTATGCCTTACCACAGATTTTGTCAGTCTTTAAAGTGCTACTGGACTCTTACTCTTTCTACTTCTATTAGAAACCACAGTATTCAAAAACCAGTGGGGGAACATTTTAACCTTCCAGGACATTCAGTTGCTGACCTAAGAGTAGCAGTTCTCTTAAAAAGAAATGTCAAAAGGCGATTTGGGAGACTGCTGAATTCCAGCTGATAATGAAGCCCAAGACAATGCATCCTCCTGGACTGAACTGAGACCTAGGTTTCTTCTCTCATTAGCAGTGCCTGCTATTGTCATTTGGCGTCTGAAATCACTTCAGTCTCCAAAGTATAAGGACAGATGGACTCACATTCTAGCCGTTTCTGAAGAAGTGAGCAGTGACTCATAAAAGCTCATGCCCTGCCACAAATTTTGTTAGACATTAAGGTGCTACTGGACTTTTGCTCATTCCACTAATAGATTGCAAGCTATGCTGTTAGGGTTCTCCCCCCCCCCCCCCCCCTTGGAGTGGGGAAGGGGGGCGTCCCCAGGCCCCACCTGGAGGCTGGCAACCCTACCTTTTAAAAAGTAATTCTAGCCCTTTTAATTGTGCAGTTACATGGGGAAGGGTGTTGGCTGCACATTAAAAAAATGAAAGCTGAGAAGTAGTACTTTCTAAGACTCCTTCCGTACAACATTCTTCTAATGACTACCTATTCTATCTGTTTTTCCTCCACCTCCCCTCCCTCATGGCAATATTTAGACTGTAATCTCCTCAGGGCAGGAACCTGTTTTCCTCTGTTCCACCAAGTGCCATGCACAGGGGCAACACTGTAAAAATAAATAAAAGGTGGCTGGCATTGTGTGGGCATCTCCAGCTGCTGGGGAGAAGAAAGGAGTCAATTCCTCCTTTCCTTGGAAGCTCCAAAAGTCCTTTCTCATCACATTATCCTGACTTCTGGAAACATGCTGGCATGGTTTTCAAGACTCTACTGAGCAAGGTTTGATGGTTTCCTCACTTAGTCAATTCTTCCTGTAATAGAACAGCCACATGTGTGTGGTGAAATGCCCTCCACCCTAGGACTGTAATATCAAAAATTTCAGCCTCTGAGTGTAATGGTTGGGTTGGGACACGGTGCTCCTTGCTGGTTAGCTGGAGGAAAGGTGAGAAGAAACAAGTTGGTGTGAGTCACATCCCTCCTAAGGAGCCATTCAGCACCACATAAATACCCATGAACCTGGCCAAAGGAGAGCAAGCGCCTTCAAGCTATAGGGCCTCGGGGAGCCCATATGCAAGCAGGCCTTCCTGAAGAGCTGCTGCCCATTCAAGTAGATCCTGATCTTGATGGACCGATGGTCTGATTCAGTAGAAGGCAGCTCCTTGTCTCCCTGTGAGCCCAGCTGCAGTTCCTCAGGCAGGACAGACCTCTGAGAAAATATCTGGCGATATCTGCAGCGTACCCTACGAAAAGTGGAGTGTGGAAGAAGAGGCGCCTTCTTGGGGTCTAGTGGCTTGGGGGCACCCCTCGACTGAGTAACTCCCTCATTCCCCATGGTGAGGTGAGGGCCTGTCTCCCCACAGCATTGCCACTCATTCATCCAATACTGTTTTGTTCAGACTGAGGTGAGACAGGATGAGTTTTTCAGTGCATGAAGTTTTCCTCTTATCTCACTCGTCTTTCTGCCACAGTGGTGCTGCCCAGGAACCGCTGGTATACATGCTGCCTAGAGAGGTTTGACACCTACTGTTTGGGGACCCTATTTGGTTGGAAAGGCAGCATAGAAATAATTTAAATAAAATAAAAATTATTTTAAAAATGCCAGCTGCAGACACTGGCTGAACTACTGGTTGGGAACTTTCTGAGCAAAAATGTCTGGTTCTTGTGGCCACTTTTGAGGGAGGCACGCAGTGCCCTCTAGGGCGCATGAAGGAAAAGATTATAGGGCAAACAAGGAAGTTTATTAATGCTGTTTTTAGGGTGTTGAACATAAAATTAATGCAATAGGACTGAAATGTGAAGAAAAGCTGAAAATGCTTGCAGGTCCCATACATATGGAGGGTACACACGAAGCCTGTGAGGTACAGCACCCCAATTCCTCCCAACAGTTAATGTGAATACTAAGAGGTCTATTCCATCTTGCAAGGTGTTAGTAATGGGGCTGTAATGGGGCTGTTTCCATGGCCCTTATCATCTTCAAGGGCAGAGTTAGGAATGTGATAACTGGCTCTTCTTGAGAACCTGGGGCCCACAGGATGGGAAGGGGAAGCAGGAGTGATGTAATCTTCTAGAGGATTCCAGCAATAACATGTCCTGATTGGATTGTCACCATCACCTGACACTAGTCGGCTCAAGACTATAATTGAGCTAAGAGAAAAGGCGGCTAACTTCAAGATTCTTGTGGACTCAGGTCTGGAGTATGATATGCTGTCCTGGATTTTCAGGTGTTTCTCCCTTCGATGACCTGCCTTGTGGATGCCATCTGTCCCGCTGTCCGGTTTTCCCAGAGGCCTTTGGGTTCCTGCCTGATAGGGGTCCCACTGGGAGGCCCCGGCTCCTGGTTTTTCTGGCCCTGTTGCCTGGGGTCCCTCAGGACCTCTCAGGGATTCCAATCCTGCAAGGGGCTGTCCTGGATTTCAGGCTGTGGCTTCCCAAGGACTTGCCTACCTCAAGGGTGCTGCCCATCCTCCTCGGTCTTTGGAGCCACTGAGGGTCCAGCCTTTGTACTCTCCTGGCAGCTTTCTGAGGTTCTTGAGCCTCTGACAGTTAACGGGGGAACTGCTTTTGCTCTGCAGTAACTAAGAAACTTTGTTTTAACGAGAGGGCCAGAGAGTGGTAATCAAAGAACTCAAATTTCAAATGGTTTTAACTTCTATGCAGGAAGGAGCATTAAATCACTGCCAAGTGAGTGTTACTGGGAGAAAGTTTGTTCAAGAGGGGGAAGAAAGGACCTGCCCGGAAGAAAATAGCAGTTTGTCTTGGACTGAGGAATTGCCCTGTGCCATTTGGTCACCTTGTCTGTCAAAATGAAGAGACCCTGATGCCTTCTTCCCCATTAACTTGTGTCACTTGCTCTGATGTTATCTGTTCACATTCCCCAACCTTCCCAGGACTCCCTCCCACAAGTATGTTTTCAAATGAAACAACAGGAAGACAAACCTTTAATACAAACAGGCATCTCAACACAATGAAAACAGCCTCCACGCACACACATGCAATGAACTGGTGGTGGCCAAAGGAGGAAATTTTACATCAGAAATAAGGGATGGGGTGGGGAAGGGTAAAACACCCCAACACTGACATTGCTCCCTTATTCCACATCTGCCCCACAGCTGTGTTGAACAAAACTTGAAAGGGTGTGGGATATCTGACACATGCTTTCCACACCTCTTATCTAGTTTTCAGTCCAGAAGTAAAAATGGGGGGGGGATCTTCCTCTCCACAGCTGGCAGAGATTGGGGGCGGGAGAAGGTTTATATTATGGCTTATGGGGGTTAGCAGAAGCTTGCTAGTCTGTGTAGACCTCTCTTTTAGTCCAGATCTGTTATTATTTAATGAGTGAAATGGGGCATTCTCTCTTTCTGAAATCAACTACAAAAAAAGAAGGAATGCTGGAAAATTGAGGAAAAAGCAGACTCAATTTTATGTATCAGTTTTGCTGATTGGGAGCCTGGAGAAGACCTCCACAGAGCTAAAAAACAGGAAACTTAAGTAATATCATTTTTCTTAGTGGTCCTTGTGCAAAATGACTGCCTTAACAGAGTTGGAGGTGACCTTCTAAATACACAAAAAAAAAGGGCAGGAGGGTCTCTCCAGAGAAGGAGGCTCCAGAGAACTCGTAGAGAAGGGCTACTTGGTCAGCGTCGAAAAAAGCCACTCTCCCTGCAGTGTAGTTCAGGCACACTCGGATCCTCTTGAGCTCCCCACTCAGGGTCAGGGGAGGATCATGGTCTTTTTCAGAAGCCTTGTAGCTGCCCCCCCACCTCCCCACCTCCCAGAACCCTTCTTCAGGATTGTAGGTTACGCATGCCTTCCTCCTCGCAGACTTTCTGGCCACCCCCACTGTCCATCCTTCCTCACTTCCCACAAGGACTTCCCAGAAATGGCGGCCTGCTGTGAATCCCTCACGGCCCAGAACACAGGAATATTTGTCAAATCTCTCAGGACTGTGGGGCAGATCTTGAGCCTTTTCTCCTCGTCTCACACTGTTCCGATCCTCAGACAGGATGAGTTGGGGATGGGCTGTGTCTAGATCCAGAGTCACATTTGCTGTTGGGGGCAGGGAGGAGAGAGAAAAGGAGCAGATTCAGCTGAATGGCAGAGTTCTTTGCCACCCCCACCTGACAGTATTGTTAGTGTCCCAGGTATGTCCGTTCCCTGTGGACCTCCCTGACCTGGTTGGTTGTTTAGACATTTCCCCCACTGCGGCTTATTCTGTTTCCCTTCTCTTCTTTTTAATTTTAACCCTTGGTTGGATTTGCACAGGCTCTCCTTCCTTCCCCTGACCTATGGAAGGAAGAACAGGCTTCCTGGCCTTGGAGAGACAGTGAGAACCCAGGTGAATTAAGCCAGTCCCACCTAACCTCTATCAGAGAAGCACCCTGAGAAAGAAGCACAGATCACTGTGTATCTCATCCACCTTTAGGAACAAAATGAAAAATCACATGTGGAAGAGCACTTAACACAAAACACCCTGATTGCATGAACGTTTGCCCATGAAATAATGGGTTGAACTTGCAAAGCAGATCAAGTCCTGATCCTAGAGATATCCCAAGATTGACATTTCTGCTCAATTCATTAGGATTTTCAAGGGCTACATTCAAGATTTCTCCGATTGGAATGGGCCTGAAATCTCAGCAAAAGCTAATGGCAGGTTGATGAAGGAGTCACAAAAAAATATCCTCCTCCAAACCCTGTAATTATTTGTTTTTTAAAGGTATATATCCTTTCTTTCCCATCATTCCAGGTGTCCCCCAGAAAGCAAAACCAAAAACACCCCCCATAATATTTCCTGTACTTCACAGCATAGGGAACTGGGGGGATGGAAGGAGAGTGGGATTTACATTCCCTGGAAACTCTGCGCGTGAACCAGAAGCCTGTGACTTTTAGAGAGAACCAGGGGCTTCAGGGAGCATGCTACAATCGACAGGGCAAAAGGAAATACTTCTTTACTCAATGAGTGTGAAACATGGAATTTGCTGCCAGAGGATGCAGTGAGGGCCACAGACATAGATGGCTTTAAAAGGGGGATTAGACAGATTCATGGAGGACAAGTCTGTCAGCGGTTGCTTGCCCTGGTGGCTAAAGGGAACCCCCACATTCAGAGGTATTGGGGGACAAAACAGGAGTGTCCCAGGAATCTTATTACTGGAGAAAAGCCCAAGTAGAAGAACTCAGTGTGTGAGGGGAAGCCTTTTAGTTTAGAAATAACTGATTTGTGCAGGAAATGTACCTTTCTGCAGGTGAAGTCCAGAATCCAGATTGTCTGAGGAAGTGAATGGAACAGAAAACAAGCAGACGATTAGTTAACCTTTTTTTCTCAGTTTTAGCTGAAGGGTTAAGTAGCAGCCACTTCAGGGATGAATTCTCCCCCAAATTTTACTGGTCTGTAAATATTCAAATTTGTTTACACTTAATATGACTTTTCTCCTTGTTCCTAATTATGGCTGATGTTGGACTGAGAGCAGAAAGGAAAAATGGATCACAATTGGCAAACTGACTCTTAACCACTAAAGCAGACAAAGAGTGATTCTGAACATAGCTATCCAGAAGTCGACTGCTTTGAGTTGCTTCAGACTCGCTTCACGGAGAGTATGCTAAGGACTGCAGCCCAAGAATCCAATCCAGAGAAGCTTAGGATGTTTCTGCACAGAGATATTGTTCTGGTTTGGTATCAAACTGGAGTGGGCTTTGTTGTCACCTAAGCCTCCATGTTCTGGGATTTCCACTGCTTTCCCCTGCACTTTCCCAAATCCCGTTTGATACAATCTTTTTGGAATGATGGCAGTCAAAAGGTGTTTTTTCATGCTGTGTGGATAGGAAAGTGTGCCTTTCTGAATGTCCCACCTTTTCCTTGCCTCCTCCTCCTCCCAGTGGGTGCTATTCCCCCTCCCCACTACTTTCTATGCTACTAGTAGTTCCTCCGAATTCCCAGCTTTTATTTTAAAAAGTGTCCAAACTTTCATGTTGTGGAGATACAAAAGGGAAGGTGAATCCCTTATTTCTCTGCCCTAGCCCAGAAAAGCCCGATCTTCTCAGATCTCGGAAGCTAAGAGCGGTCGAGTCTGGGAAGGACTTGGGTGGGAGACCTCCTTGGAATACCAGCAGTCGGGAGGACAGGGGCAGGCTTTATTCAGCCACCTCTCTGAATATCCTACAGGCCCCCAGTAGGGGTCAGTCACCAGAGGTCGCCATGACTTCCAGGTGCACACACAAGCACATATACAATACAAAAATACCAAAAAACCACAACCCCCCCCCCCCAAAAAAAAGGGCTAGACTTTTTTTTTTAAAATCATGGCAGTGGGTCATTATAATGTTATTGTGCTCGAGGCGAGATGTAAAATTTCCGGAAATTTTGAAGCTCGGGAAAACCCCCGTTTTTTTCTGGGGAAAAAACGGAAATTTTTGGACAAATTGAAAAATATGCTACATTAGCATTTCTTTTGTCTTTTCTAGATTGAAAGTCATTCTGTTACTTTAGGAACATAAAATATGACTATGGACATTTTTACTTGGCATGAAATTATCACAACTAGCATATTAAAAATATAGTGTGTCCAAACAATTATTTCAAACAGAATACCCACCCACATGCAAAAACAAAACTGAAACTTTTTTCTTCTTCTGACAATCGCACCTCCTAAAGGAAGAAATGCATCTTGTTCTTGGATTGGAGGGTTCAGTTTGTAACCTAGGACTTGCTTGTCCTCAGTGCACAGAAATTAGATCAATCTGATACCATATATATTAGAAATGATTTGGAAAATGTTTGAACACCTTGTCTTAAAATATTTTATTCATCATGTTAAAATAAAATGTTCCATAATCATTTTTTTCCTTTTTTCCCTTTTTTCAATTTTTCCAATTTTTTGGAAAAAGCAAAAAGGCTTCAGGAAAAAAATGGAAAAAAAGCCGTTTTTTCCCCGAATTTTCCCGGATTTTTTCCGGGCCTTCACAGCTCTAGCTCGAGCTATTAGAAGTATTAAACTCCCCTTATATCTATGCAATGATTTTTTTTTTTAATGACAATTCTAAATCATGGAAACAGATTTTCATACTGTTAACCTGTGTTAGTGATTAGTCAATGGGGCTGCGGTGGCTCAGAGGTTAAGACGCTGAGCTGCAGACCAGAAGGTCAGTAGCTTGGCAGTTCGAGATCCGAGTGCCGCATGACAGAGTGAGCTCCCGTCTCTAGTGCCAGCTCCTGCCAACCTAGTCATTTGAAAGCAAGAAACTGCAAGTAGATAAATAAGTAACAGTATTCCATGCGCCTTGGCATTTAGTCATGCTGGCCACATGACCATGGAGAAGTCTTCAGACAGCGCTGGCTCTTCGGCTTGGAAACGGAGATGAGCACCGCCCCCTAGAGTCAGATTCGACTGGCTTTTGAGCAAGAGAAACCTTTACCTTTACCTTAGTGATTAGTCAATTACCAATTAGGGGGGGGGAAAACCACCTTAAAGGACCGTGGGGAGAAGGGCAGAACAGACTGGAGAGCAACAGGACAGGAGGGGA